GCTAATCTTTTCTTCCTTCTAATGAAGCATGTAACTGGTTAGTGCCCAGTAGAAGTTAACAAAGTTATTGGAAAACCAGCCCATTGGATTTTGTCTTCATTTCTGTGGCTTTTATCAACCACTCCTAATCTTCTTTTTTTCTCTCTCTGTTTATCTTGTAAACTCAAGAAAGAATGTCACTGCACCTTTTGTTCACAATCCAATTATCTTTTTTATTCCAATGGCTTCTCTTCAAGAATTACTAGCTGATGAAGGTTTTGAAAGTAGTAAAAAAACACCTGCAAGAACTCATAGAAAAGTTAAGTTCAAAGACAGAGAAGACTCAAACAATATTGCTCTGCCTATTTACATTTGCCATGACAGAAGATCATCCTTGGATTTCTCCAAGACTAAATCCCGAAGACCCTTTTCGAGTACTACTTCTTCTGTTCATTCGTCACAAAAATCGAATGTTAAGTCCACTCATACTCATGTTGAAGGAAATATTCCAAGAAGAGATGAGCCTGCTATTGATGAAATTGCTATAAGAGCAGTGATTTCTATACTTAGTGGCTTTGTAGGACAATATTCGAGGGATAAAGATTTTCGCGAAGCTATTAAGGAGAAATGTTATGCTTGTTTTGCGAGAAAGAAGAATTATTCGGATGATGGGATTTTTGCTGATATAGAATTGGCTATTGAGAGTATAGAGAGATTAGTTGATAGTATTGATGATACTAAAAGGGAAGTTAAAGTTAAGTCATTGCAATATTCTATTAGGCTATTGACAATTGTGGCATCTTTGAATTCCAATAACTCTGGAAATGCCTCAACTTGTGGAATTCCCAATGCTAATCTCTCTGCTTGTGCACAGCTCTACTTATCTATCGTCTACAAGCTCGAAAAAAATGATAGAATTGCAGCTAGGCATCTCCTTCAGGTGTTTGTTGATTCGCCATATCTTGCTCGGACACACTTGCTTCCTGAGCTTTGGGAGCATTTGTTTCTTCCACACCTTCTTCATCTCAAGATTTGGCATACACAAGAATTGGAAGTTCTATCGAGTTTGGAATATGCTGAAAAGGAGAAGCACATGAAGGCCTTAAACAAGCTCTATAATGACCATGTTGATATTGGTACAACAAAGTTTGCTCTTTACTATAAACAATGGCTCAAGGTTGGTGCCCAAGCCCCTGCTGTTCCTTCTGTGCCTTTGCCTTCTAAAGTGGGATATTCGACTTCAAGAAGACGTTCTATGGATTCTGTCACTTCCAATTCCTCCGTCAAGAACAACTCATTGTAAGTTTGCATACAACTCATGGTTGAACTGTTTTTTTTTTTTTTATGTACTATGCTTCCTAGGATAGTTTTGAGCTTGAAAGTTTTTTTCGTTATCCTGAAGATATCGTGCTGTTTTTGGCCCAATTACGGAGAGGAAATCCATGGATGCTGCAAGAAATGGAATTTGGGACTATGAGGAGGAAGAAAAAGAGAAGATTTCATCCATTGGAGATGACTTAAAGCAAGGCAATTACAGTCCAGTGAGTGACCTTTACATATTACCTTTTGTTGATTCTTGAAAGGGTATGATGAGAATTCTAATTATATTCTTAACTTTGACAGAAAAAAACAGTGGTTCATCGAAGATCATCGAGTCAAAGTAATAGAACTCCAAAACATGATCAATGGGATCATACTCATAAAAAATCAGACCGCTTTCCGTATTTCAGTTGTCAAAGTGAGCCTGTGGAGTGCTTGAGAGAAGGAAACAGTAAGATTGGCAGTGTTTCCATCAGAAAGGAAGAAGAAATAATTCCTTCTGTTTCAAATGATCTAAGTAGAGCTATCTTCGCGATTTGCTCCTCAGATAGCTTAAGTGAGTGTGAACTGGCCATCCGTTTGGTGGCAAAATCTTGGCTTGATTCTCATGGAGATCCTGAGACTGTAAAGAGATTGTCCACAACACCAGTGATCGAAGGAATAATGAACGTTTTGTTTGCATCCGAAGATGATGAGATCTTGGAACTAGCCATCTCAATCTTAGCAGAACTAGTCACTAGGAAAGAGACGAATGGACAAATCATTCTGAACTCAGATTCACAGCTTGATATTTTCTTGAGACTATTGAGAAGTAGCAACCTGTTTCTCAAGGCTGCAATTCTGCTTTACCTAGTGCAGCCAAAGTCGAAACAGATGATATCAATTGAGTGGATTCCATTAGTACTTCGAGTTTTGGAATTTGCAGATCAATTGCAGACGTTATTCACGGTTCAACGTAGTCCTCAAGAGGCAGCATATTACTTGCTTGATCAACTTCTTACTGGTTTTGATGAAGACAAGAATTTTGAAAATTGTAGGCAAGTCATTTCAGTAGGGGGATTGAGCTTGTTGCTCAGACGAGTTGAAACAGGAAATGTCTCAGAAAAAAGTAAAGTGGCTTCTGTTATGTATTATTGTGTTCAATCTGATGGAAGCTGCAGGCATTACCTGGCCAAGAACTTGAATAAAGATTGTCTTCTTCCCCTTCTATTGCTTCAGAACCAGCACAACACTCGAGGACATGTTTTTGCATTTCTCACCGAGCTTCTCTGCATCGATAAGTAAGATATTCTTGTTAAGCTCTCTTATGCAATCTTCTTCTTTTTCTTGCATCTAAATGAACAAGTAATTTTGCATGATGTTACAGGCAAATTCAAAGAATAGAATTCTTACGCGGACTACTAAGTGGATGGGGAATGGTGAACACCTTGCACATTTTGCTACTCTATCTCCAAAGAGCTCAACAAGAAGAACGCCCCATTATCTCTGCCATATTGTTACAGCTTGATCTTTTGGTAAGTCTGTTTCCATTATAGTCTTCTCCGGTTCAAAGAATAATTCGGAAGAAATCCTCATTTAGCTGCAGTCATGCTGCAGGGAGATCCGAACGAGTGCAGTGTGTATAGAGAAGAAGTAATAGAAGAAATAATAAAAGCCTTGGACTGTCAAGTATTCAATGAAAAAGTCCAAGTACAATCAGCCAGAGCTCTACTTATACTAGGGAGCTGTTTTTCCTATGCTGGAGAGCCAGTAGTGGAGCAATGTCTGTTAAAAGAAGCAGGCTATGACGAAAACGCTGGGGATTCATATCTTGGCAAAAACTTCATCCTTAACAGTTATACAAACCTGGTAAATTCCCCTTCTCATGACCTTTTTTTCATGTTGAACTTTAACCAAAACTCGAATTCACCTAGTCCTTCAACTAAGTTTCAGAATGAAGAGGAGGAGGCAACAAGAAATTGGCAAAGGAAAACAGCGATAGTGTTGCTTAACAGTGGAAACAAGAGGCTGTTATCTGGTCTTGTAGATTCAATAGCCAATGGAATTCCATGTTTAGGAAGAGCAAGCCTAGTTACTGTCACCTGGATGAGCAATTTTTTCTGTTTCATTGAGGACAAAGGAGTTCAGTCTTTAGTATATTCGGAGCTGATCCCCGAGCTGATAAAGTTATTGAAGTACAATAATGCTATAGAGGAAAGAGTTCTTGCTTCACTTTCATTACTCAAACTGGCAAACAATTCAGGTATGGGATTTTGCAAGCTATACTTTAGCTTAACCTTGATAAAATTGTATGCTCTATCATTAGAGAAAAGTTAACTTGTTACTTCCATAATACCTAATTAAACTTTATCACAAAAAAATAGCACATTTTGAACTTTCTTCACAGTGTTTTGGTCTATTATTTTTTTTCAGATTATTTGGCAAAATTGTCTCCATTGGATAAAGAGCTCATAAATGATTTGCATAAACTCTCAGAAGTAACATGGACAGCAAAGGAGCTTGTTTCAATTATTTCAAGCAGCTCAAGGCATCATCAGCAGCTTAATGTACCTTAACAATTTGTTTTTTTTGTTTAGTACCTTTAGTCATTCTACCTTGTACATGTCCATGAAGGCACAGGATGTCTATATATTAGCCCTTCTTGGAGATAATTTTAGTTATAAGTGAGGCTATTTCTCAACCGCGATACGTCTTCTTCTTATTCATTCTTGAGTAATTCATAAATAACTTCAGTTGATTTCAAAGCAAGTATTGCCAAAGACTATGGACACAGATAATGCCTCTAATTCTTCAATATACAAAAGCAGCAATTACCATGTCTCTGTAACACTTGATGCAAAACTGAAAACAACATTGTAAAGTGAGGTTTTCAAGATTATATGGGGAGAAACATTGAACTCTGTTCCTTGAGAGTATTTAGCACAGTTCAGTTTGTTTTTCTTGTTCAAAATTTTGGTAAAAAGCATAGATCAGTAAGAATCGAATCCATGAAACTAAAAGTATTACGTATACTGAACTGAATTCCGATACAAAACGTATGATTGAAGGCTCAGTCAATCAAATATCAGTTTGATCTACTTTACATCCTTACAGAGAAATATCCTTCTATTTTGGCAAAAGTGGGATGAGATGCTACTATGCTGTAAATTTTCTGCATAATACTTATGTATCCTTTGAATTATGTTCCAAATTGTTAGAAATCTCATTTAATAGTTAAATACGCATGAGTACCATAAGAACCAAAGAGCCCTCTTGCGTGTATAGCCTTTGTAATCTCCATTTTAGAATTTGAAGATACTATTGTAAAAGGTTCCCAAAAGGAAAAAAACATGCAGAGACAGAATGCAAACCACATTGAATATAGCTAGAGACAACAAGTAGCTCAAACACAAGTACATTAAACGAAATTCAACTTTTTGTCTGACAATACATATTAGAAAGCATCACACAATTTAAGTAGACATACTGGGCAGTAAATAAAACATGATCAAACGTCAAACCATTATGACAGAGAAAATAAAAGACGGATAGCAATAAAAGAAGCATGAAATCCCATTAGATTCACGCACAAACTCCTTTGCTACATCCGATAGAAAGGAGGCTAAAATGCATTCGGAAATGGGCATCTCCAACATATAGACAACCATCTCGTCCCCAGTGTGGGAATGGTGAAGGAGATCAAAGAGCTAACCGGTCTGTCATCAAACGAAAAACATTGTGTTCTGCAAATCACGGTGCAAATCATAAAATCCTTGTGCAAATGAGTCAATTGGAGAAGATGATGACGACGAAGCTTCAGAGGATGAAGTTGTAGACCTAGAAGAGCTCATCTCCTTAAGCACCTCTTGGAACATTCGTCCCCTGTAAGCAACAAGGTCTGCATAGTAAACTGGTGGAACAAGTGAAACAGGTTTAGTGCACCGTGCAAAAGTGAAGCACATGTTGTATATAAGACGTTGTAAATCGACAGATTTGAAGCCATTCTCATCAAATAGAACATGATAGTGAGTTGCCTTGCTAGTACCCAACTGTCCATAGTGGCTGCAAAGATAGAAGTCAAAACCAGATGGATGAACAATTTGTGTATCCACAACAGTACCCGGAGACACATTTCCATCCATAGGAAATAGTCGTGTATGGTGTCTCTTCTGAGCCACAACAAGAGTGATTGCTGGTTGATACTTATTACTTTCGTATATCGCTTCTACCAAATCATTCAACTCTTCGTTGAGTACCATATCAAACTGACTCTCGCTCACACCATCACGGAAAACAACAATTTTGTTTGGTTTAACCGAGTTGAGTTCCGCATAAGTACGAACTAGGTCTTTACACATTTTCCCGAACTCTATAATCTTTTCAGTCCTGTGTTCCTGTGGAGAGACTCTAGCGGCATATTTATTAGCAGCTGGCCAGTTGATGGTGGCAACAACTGCTGCTATGGATGGACATTTCACATTTCCTGCAGCAGGATGATTAACATCAGCTCCAATGAACATGACATTGTCATCACTTCCGAAATTAGGGAGTCTTTCCATAAGTTCCATATTGCTGCCCCCAAGTTTTGCATTAATCTTCATACAGAGGTTGGGAAGATATTGATTATGTAGCTTGTTGGCATTAGAAGACAAGCAACACTGGGTTACAATTCCAATTTTGGTCTCAGATACCCATTTAAGATACTTGTACCCATTATGCTTTGATGTCATAACACAAACTATCATTTGAAGTTTACCCTTTATTTTTTGGTCAGCTGCATCAACCACAACTTTGAGGAGATTTTCAACCTTGCCAACTGCAGAGAGCTCCTTCATGTCGGTAGAATGTACTACAGCAGGTTCTTCCATATTAATACTCAATTCTCTGCACCGATCTCTCAAGTTCAAGACAAATTTATCAACTTGTAGCTTCAACAAGTCCCTGCTTTCCTTAGAGCTAAAATCTATCAAAGCCCATCGTTGAAGCGCCTTGCCTTCCACCACAGATTTCCCAACAAGGTTCCACTGGCATGTCTTATCATTCAAATAAGGTGGAATTTGACCGCCTAGCTTCAAAACAGGGACAGGAAGAATACAACCCGAAATACGGGTCATGTGGTCATCAACACGAATCTTAAAATTACCGGGAATAGTCCTGCAATAATCAAGTGGAAAAATATATCATCAATAAGTTCATGATGACAGTGAATAAATTGACGATCTAAACTCAGTAATTTATGAAATGTCTAAGCAAGGAAAGAAACCAAAAAGAAGATTAGAAATGAAATACATAGATAATCAGAGTATAGTTTGCAACATAAGTACTGTATCAATATCCACCTATACTTTATGAAATGTACATACTCTATAATGAAAGAAAACCAACCCATAGAAGATCAAAAAAGTTCAACCACATTTATTGTCAGAAAGAAGAAATTCAAAAGGAAGCATCAAAATCTCAGAAGAAAACACAAAAGAAATTTAAGGAATTCACATACGTGCGCGGCCCATCTGTAGCCAGTACCGTCTCACATATTAACTTCCTTCTCTCTTCGGGTTTAGGCGAGGCTGTTTTCAAACGATCCTTAGGAAATCGTTGTCCCGCAACCAATTCACAGAATTCCACCGGGACATAGTTTTCCTTAACCCCTTTTCCAATATCTAGTGAAGGGAAATGCTTGTACCGAATTTTACGGGTATATTTTTCATTGAAGTAGTCAACAACGAAAACCTCCACTTCGGTATCTTGAAGGCGAAATTTAAGAGCACGAGTTTCTCCTGGAGTTAGCTTCTTAATAACAAACTTCTGCTTGATAGGACGATGAGTTACTTTGACTTTCAAACCAGTCAATAAATCACTTGCAGCTGCTCTTCTATACTTGAAAATGTCTTCAATTCTTCCTCCATAATATTTCTCCAGAAAGCCTATCACTGAAATTTGTTCCGGGATTACCAAGAGTTCTGAGTAATCTAAGCACAACGCAAGACCTTCAGATGTTAGCTTTAGGCTCTGCTGAAAACCTTTACGTGCAACAACCCCGCAATTTAAATTTTTGTAAGCATTGTTAGAGTAGAAACAACGACCTACAGAAATCCTGCACCTTCTAGGATTTTCTTTCATAACCAAATCCATTCCTTGTAGTACATCACGAGGAATATTCTGGAGGTTTCGTTTCACGTATCCGGTCACGTTGTCAAGTTGTAATTGAGCAACAAGCTTGAAGGTAAGCGTGTACTTGCATTCCTTAGCATCATCCCCAACAGAGCAGTTCACAGTTAAAGGCTTAGCAGGAAGATCAACAGCACTGAAAATGTTCTTATTACCGTCATATGCAGTTTTATCACAGGGAAATTCAGCAGGCTTATCCACCAACCACTTTTCTCTTATCTTACGGAGATCAAACATTTCTGTTACCGGCTTCCCAGGCTGATTCTCATCAACCTGTTGAACATCCACATCATAATGCAAAATGATAGTCCCGTCTTTAAATTTAACAGGAAAGTGATTAGCATGCAGGCTAATCGACTTGTCAGAATTGTTTCCACCATCAGGTCGTCCCATAGGTTCACGTTTTTTTGAATCCTTCAGATTGATTTTCCCCAGAAGAACTGAAGCATCTGCCCACAAAAATAGTACAGTGCATTTTAAGAATGTTGACATGCATAAAACTAGTGAGCTAATAAAAAAAAAGAAAATACAGGTCTGCTTCATAAGAAGAACTTGCAGATGAAAATTACTCATTTATTTTAAACCAAAAACAAAACAAATATAGATCATAATATACAGAAACCTATGAATTTTTACTTTTAACCAAAACATTAGTTCACTCTATATAAACCTCTGAAAACAACTTCAATTGATAAAAAATTCCAGTTCAACGCTAAATAAAACAATACTATACAGCTTCAGATATAGATATAACAGCTATCAATTATCATGAATATCAAAACTTCCAACTCATAGAAAATTGCCTAGTTTTTGCATGTTATAAACAAGTACGTTGCAAGATGCTGTTAACTTACTTGCAGTAGACAATATAAAGAAAATAGACTATACTAAGAAAAACATCATAACAAGGTATGAGTTAATACCAGAAGATCGAAGAGGAGGACGATCCACACCTTCCTGCTGCTGGTTTCCACCACCATGTTGCTGCCCAACGCCGCCGCCTCTTCCCTGTTGCAGTTGTGGCCGTGCCCAAACAGTGCTTGTAACGTCTCTACCCTGTTGCTGTTGTGGCCGTGGTGAAGCAGTACCAACACCTCTTCTGAGTCTATCGGCCCAACTAATAACAGTAGCTTCTGGAGTCTGACTAACCGGCTGATTTTCCGGAGCCCCAGTCTCAGTAAACTGATGCTGACCCGATGGCCTCGGCTGGTTAGATGAAGATGAACTCATCTGAAACCCATCCCTTCCACTACGTCCACGGCCTTGTTCCTGTTCGTGCTGACCACGAGCACGGACTTGATCCTGTTCGTAGTAAGCACGAGCACGGTCTTGTCTCGGTTCGTTGTAACCACGAGCACGGCCTTGTCTCTGTTCGTTGTAACCACGAACACGACCACGATCACGACCACGGTTACCTCCACCACGTCCGTTGTAGCTTCCACGGTCCATTTGCTGCTAACTTGAGTATTTTTATTTTTAGCTAAGAGAGAAAGAAAACTAGCAATTGTAAATTCTTCTAAAGTTTTTGTGTTGAGAATGATGAAGTTGAGCTAAAATAAATAGACTCAAGGCTGTATCCAGTAACAGTATATAGAGTAGACGCTAAATGACGAAAAAAGGACGATTTCGTGGATAAATCCATGCATGCAATTGACCTTTTAGTCCCTATAAGGTTTTTTTTGTTAAATAAACGACAAAATAGTAGAACAAATTATTCGGTGTCTTATCTTCCAATCTTTTGGGGTTGAGGGTAGTTTTGGTATTTAATCAATTGGATGAAGTAGTGGGCAAGGAAAAACTGGCTATTGGTGAAGAAATACAACGACTACGTACTCGACTTGTCAGTGACACTGTTAAATGCTGCAATGCAAATATAATTACCCATTCCATTGTTAAATTATAAAAAATCTCATTTTGAATATTTTTTTCTGATTTTACTTTTACTTATTAACTTCAAATTTATCTAATTCTATCATATATACTCTATATTTTAATGATACTTCTACTTCGTATTTTTCTTTTTTCGGGTAAGTTTATTATTCATGTGTGACATTATATAATTTTAAAAAATGATACGACTTATTTAAATATTGTATTTATTGAGACGATACAATATGATATAATACAATATATAACGAGCATTCAAACATTGTATTAGATTAAATGAATTAAATACTTTATTTGAATACATCGGATAATTTTTTGTGTTTATTTCTAATTTGTAAAATTTGAATTATACCTATTTTAAATATTTTTTATTTTAATCAAACGTTGGAAGTTGGTTTGATGTCTACTCTTTTATTATTATTATTATTACTACAACCTTAGAGGGAAATTTGTCTTATAATGAAATTATGACATAAGAGAGTTTACTAAAATCATTTTATTGTATCAGATAATTGGTGTTTAATCAAATATGGTATAATATAAAGTGGAATAAGGAAGCCTAAAAGGGATAATTGAACTTGGGATCCCTAAGTTATTGCTAAATTAAGATTTTAATCCTTTTTATTCTTTTGCTAAGCAAATTTAATTTTTGCTTCAATTATGATGTACTAATTCTTTCTAATTACTTCTCTTCAAAGTCTATTTCAAATAACTACTTTTATATATAATGTCGAAACTTAAAAAATGATTACAATTAGTATTAAAGGAGATTATACCCATCTTAATTTGATGTGTACTTGATCTATTCATTTGTTGACTTTGTAATTTGCATTTCTTATGACACGTTTGGGAAAAAATGATAAAGTAGAAAAGACAAATATCAAAAACATGTATAATGAAAGATATAAAAGCTCTCAAATATGATTTACTTGCACTTAAATGTATTTAGAGTTTTAGACTAAATATAAAACCAAAGTTTTAAGTACTTGAAACGAAATTTTTATTATCTGTCATCATCGCTAATAAATAATTCTTAAAATAAAAGATTTCTCCAAAATACTAAGAGTTCATATTCTGAATAGGAAGTTTTCTAGTGTCTTTTCATGTTAATTTAGGCCAGAATTTTATTCATATTCCTAATAGCATATGTGCACTTCTCTTCCAGATTAATTATATTTCAAATTCAGGATAGTGTTGGTATATTATCCGTTTTGGTTTATTAAATTTGATATTTTATTTTTATTTTTTATGTAATGAGTGATGTTTTCACCAAAGCTTTAATTTTTCAAATTTGCTTTATGAAAAAAAATTTATATCAAGAACTTCAAATAAGAGTGGGGATATCTTATCCATATATCACGATCCTTAATAAATATAACATTCTTATCTATTAGAATTATACATATTATTATAAAAATACTAATAGAGTACCATTGTACCTGAGATAATTATTTTATAATAATAGCGTACCATTGTACCTGAGATAATTAACACAAAAAAATGAAACGGTAAAATCTTATTTGGCCAAATCTTCCAAGGCACCTTACCTTACCTTGTTTATAAGATTATAAAACCTCTTTTTTTTTTCTTTTTTTGGATGTTGCTTGTGGATAGTTTTACTGAGTTATAGTGTAAACTCTTTGTTCATATATAAGTTCAAACTCTTGTCCTCATACTATTTCGAATTACTTTTTGTTTCTTTTTTCTTTGGAGTGAGTCTCTCTAATTTTTTCACTTGAACTAGGGATGATTCAACTCTATTTTATATCATATAGAATTTATCTGTTTTTTAACTTATACTTTTTTATTTTCTTTGAAATTCAAGTTGTAATTATAAAAGGCAAGTAATAATATGTTAAAATTATTGAAATTAAACAAGTCAAATTAGACGAATCGTGATCCCCAACCCGCCATTTTACAATCCTAACTTGAATGGTCGGTTAGATTGATGGTATAATATTATATTAAGTCTTTTTTCCCATTAGCTTCATATGGGAAAACACGAAGTGAGAAAATGCTATCACATTGAATAACTAATAGAGAGACATCAAATAACTCAAACACAAATTTATTAAGACGAAATTTAACTTGTCTCAGAATACATAACGCAAAACATCTCAAAGTAAATAAAACATAATCAAACGTCAAACAATTAAGACATCAATGGATAAACTCACACCATAGAGAATAAAAGAAGCATGAAATCCCATTAGATTCACGCACAAACTCCTTTGCTACGTCGACGACGAAAAGGAGGTTCAAATGCGTTTGGAAATGGGCATCTCCAAAATGTAGACAATCATCTCCTCCCCAGTGTGGGAATGGTGAAGGAGATAAAAAAGTTGACGGGTCTGCCATCAGACGAAAAACATTATGTTCTGTAAATCCTTGTGCAATTTATAAAAACTTTGTTCAAATGAAACAGATGAAGTTGTAGAGCTAGGAGCGTTCATCTCCATAAGCACCTCTTGGAACATCCGTCCCCTGTAAGCAACAAGGTCTGCATAATAAACTGGTGGAACAAGTGAGACAGGTTTAGTGCACCGCGCAAAAGTGAAGCACAAGTTGTATATAAGCTTTTGTAAGCTGTCAGAATTGAAACCATTATCATCCCATAGAACATAATAGTGAGTTGCCTTGCTAGTACCCAACTGTCCAAAGTGGCTGCAAAGATAGAAGTCAAAATCAAAAGGATGAACAATTTGTGTATCCACAACAGTACCCGGAGGGACATTTCCCTCCTTAGGAAATAGTCGTGTATGGTGTCTCTTCTGAGCCACAACAAGAGTGATTTCTGGTTTATACTTATTACTGTCGTATATAGCTTCTACCAAATCATCCAACTCTTCGTTGAGTACCATATCAAACTGACCCTCACTCACACCATCACGGAAAACAACAATTTTGTTTGGTTTAACCGAGTTGAGTCGAGCATAAGTATTTACTAGATCTGCACACATGCTTCCAAACTCTAGAATCTTCTCAGTCCTGTGTTTCTGAGGACGAACTCTAGCGGCATATTTATTAGCAGCTGGCCAGTTGATGGTGGCAACAACAGCTGCTATGGATGGATATTTGTCGGGATCCCTGCCAGTAGGATGATTAACATCAGCTCCAATGAACATGACATTGTCTTCACTTCCGAAATTAGGGAGTCTTTCCATAAGTTCCATATTGCTGCCTCCAAGTTTTGCGTTAATCTTCAAACAGAGGTTTGCAAGAAATTGATCCTTTGCATTGTTGTAGGCATTAGAAGACAAGCAACACTGGGTTACAATGCCAATTTTGGTCTCTGAGACCCATTTAAGATATTTGTATCCATTATCCTTTGATGCCATAACACAAACTATCATTTGAAGTTCACCCTTGTTTTTCTGGCCAGCTTCATTAACTACATCATTGAGGAGTTTTTCAACCTTACCAACTGCCCAGAGTTCATCCATGTGTCTGAAATGTTTTACGACAGGTTCTTCCATATTAATACCCAACCTTAAGTACCGATCTTTCAATTTGTCAACAAATACATCAACTTGTCGCTTCAAGTCCCTGTGATTCTTAGAGCTAAAATCTATCAAAGCCCATCGTTGAATTTCCTTGCCTTCCACCACAGATTTCCCAACAAGGCTCGACTGGCATTTATCATTCACATGATGTCGACTTTGACTGCCTAGCTTCAAATCAGGGGGAGGAAGAATACGACCGAGAACACAGGTCATGTTCCTATCAACTCCAATCTCAAAATTAGGGGTGATAGCCCTGCAATAATCAATTAAAAATTAGAAGGAAAAAAGAAAGTCTGTAACAACAGATGCTAATAACATATATCAGCATATCATCAACAAACTCATGATGCAAACAACATACCAAGTGAGATCCCACAAGGAGGGTAGAATTCACGCAGACCTTACCACTAATTAATGGAGATATATAGAAAGACAGCCATAGGATGAGCTAGCTTACTAAGAATTATCATTCAAAACCCCATAAAGTTTTCATTTAAAAATACAACAGAAATCAGAAAAAACTACTCAAGTACTATTTCAACAAAAAGTGCAAACTCCATAAATGAAGCCACAACAAACATGCAAGCCAAGAAAACCACCCATAAAAGGCAGAGAAATTAAATCCATGATATTTGATCACATGGAGTGGGAAAGAAGAAATTCAAGAGGAAGCAACAAAATCTCAGATGAATAACACATATTTAAGGAATTCACATACCCGCACGGCCCATCTTTAGCCTGTATGATTTCACATATTGCCTGTTGGGGTTGAGCTAGTGCTATATTCTTCAAAATCAAGGTTGAATATCCATATCATAATGCATAATGATAGTCTGGGGATTAAATCTAACAGGAAAATGATTAGCAAGCAGCGTAATTGACTCGACAGCAATTTTTCCAGTATCAGGTACACATTGTTCCTTGCAACTTCCTCGAAGGGATGATGAACTCTGTTCTGTAATTTTCAGGGACCCCACAGAAATACAGTGCATTTTAACAGTTGTGCAGACATAAAATGAACCAACATACCATATAAGAATGAATCATATTATATACAAATTGGAAAGTTGTAAAGTGTAAAGTTGAATTACCATTTTGCTTTTATACTAAATTAAAATATTATGAAACGTTTAATTAACTAAATATGGAGTAAATAGTAATGATATCTTATATAATTTTAATTATATAGTACTATATACTAAAGGCTAAAAGAGGGAAGGTATCGAGTCACAAGTTGAATTATGAATTTTGTTAAATAACATCAATATTGTGATCTTCCTGTACGTTGTTTTTATTTTGGCATTTGTATAATCTTTTGTAACAAATTTAATATATTCTTGAGGTCTTTGAATTTAACGTTAATTAATTTTAAGAATAATTTTTTTTTTTCAACCTTTAATATTCCTTGATTTGGAAGAAGAAGAAGAAGAACGAATCTCTACCATCATCATATTTATTAATTAGATTTTAATAGCTCTTAAATAACCTCAATCGTCTAAGTGAATGATTTTTTATGTGAAGTCTTATATATGGGATCATTTTAATTTGTGCCAGTGACCGATTAGATAGAAATTAGAACATGTTACATTTTCACTCTCCTTTAAAAAATATTCTTCTAAAAAATGAATTTATCTAGTATTTTTCTCCATTATTTATTTCAAATATTTACTTTCATAACTAATACTATCTAATTAGCTATTCAATAATTGTTCTTAAACATTCAGATCTCTCATGCTTTTCAAATTCATAACCTCTAACTATTTAATTTAAAACTTTGAGATATTTTTGGATATTACTCCATTTTTATCTATATGAATTGATATTTTTAGTTCCGTGAATGAATACCCTACAGAACGTTGTCCTATTCATTCTATATTTAAAATAATGAAGCACTTATATCTTTATTTTACTACTCTCATCATTCAACAATAGTTGTCCACTATATTATTTTGAAATGTCCAACACTACTTTGTCCACTTTATGAAATCAATGGATAATTTTACACTTAGTTCCTAATTTATCTATATCTTTAATTATACTTATTTGACTTATTTTCCTATTACATTTTTCAAGATATTGTATTTATTATATTCAAATTAAAGGGTGAGAAATCAATCCCTCTTCACCAACAAGGTGGAAGTTCAAGTAGTCAACCAACTAAACCATTAAATTTACAATAGCTTGAGAATTATTCTAAACATTTCATTTGGTATTTCTTGTCACATTTTAAAAGATTTATTTGTTGCATTATATTACTCACTACATGCATGTTTCCATAGAATTTTTATTGTTCTAACGAATTCATAAAAAAATATCTGAGCAAATAAAACAATTTCTCTTTCTATTTCAATATCTTTGATCAAAAGATTCAGTTCAATGTCAAATAAAAGCATACTTAAAGCAGACAACACGGTTTAAAGCTAGCATGAGTATCCACATATATATTAACTTGCAGTAGACAATTAGTAAGATATAAAGAAAATAGATTATAATAATAATAATAACAAGAAAGCAAGGTATGAGTTAATACCAGATGATTGAGGAGGACCATCCACAACCTGCTGCTGCTGAATTCCACCTCCTATCTGCTGCTCACCCCTGCCGGTGTTATCTCCACCACCACGTTGGTAATTCCCACGGTCCATTTTGTAACTTCACAAAGAGAAAGTTAGCAACTATAAATTCTTTTAATTTTGGCAAAATACATCGACAACCTCTTAAATTTGCCATTATATTTCTCTCAAGACACTCGAATTATGGCATGTCCTAATAAATATGATAAAAATCTCTTATTACTTTAGGAAAGTCTTGATGCTTGTTCTCAAGCGTTCTTTACATAGATAAGTTAACAACTTAAAATATGTCGTCTCCTTTAATTGTATGCATGAGGAAAACTTCATGCATGTTCCAAATGATGTTGATGTGTATAAATTGCCATGAGGCAGTTTTATGTCATTAACTTATCAACATAATGGACACGTCTAAAATATGAGTTATTAAAAATATCTAATATAAACACTTTATCATGTATTTGAATATTAATTAATTGAAACATATCATAATATAAGTGTCTTAATAAATATTTACTCACAAGTTTAAGGGGCTATCAATATATTAAGCTTCAGTTTTTGTTAACTTGAGAGTGAAGTAGGAAAATCTAGTTGTGGAGCTTATAAAAACTGGACTGAAGACCATATATTATAGAGTACACGCTAAGCAAAGTTAAATGACGAAAAAGGGCTTTACTTAGGGAACGAATAAATCGAAAAAGAAGGTGTAAATGGTAAAGACTTAGGTAAAGTGGGGTCTTGTCGAAATAAGGAATGATCATGTTTAGATTGACTTTTGCGTTATGTCTTATAAGATAAAGCTATAAATTAGAAATTATAATTTGTGATTTTTATAAAACTTTTGATAGTTCAAACCATATGAAGAACTGCTCATCACTATAATAAAAAGGGATAATTGCACTTGGGATCCCTAAGTTATTGCAAAACTAATATTTTACTCTCTTTTTTTTTATTCTTTTGCTAAGCAAATTTAATTTTGATTAATTAAAAAAAAAAGTATGTGTTTTAATACGTTTACATTGAATATATTACTCCCTCTGTCCACAATTGTTTGTCAGGGTAAGATCATGCACACCCCTCAAGGAAAATTTAATACAATGTGTAATTTGACTAATATAACCATACTATACCAAGAATACCAAAAGTCCACATAACTTTTCAATTGAACTACACTATCATTAAGGGCAGAATTGGAAAAAAGTGACTAATTATTTCTTGATTGTTTAAATTGACAATTAATCTTGGACATCTATTTTTAGTATACCTGCCAAACAATTGTGGACGGAGGGAGTATATATTTAGCTTTTTTAAAAAAACATTATTATCATCAAGTATGGAGTAGGAATAACTTGACATATTATGGGTTAATTAAATTGTTTAGTAATTAATATTTCAGTAAAAAAATTTATGATTAAAAATTAGATGGATCAAAAGTACACATCTCAGTTACTTAAAGGTTAAAACAATTAAAATATTTGCTTTAATTATGATGTACTAATTCTTCCCAGTTACTTTACTTCAAAGTTTATTCCAGATAATTTTTTTCTATATATAATAATAATGTCAAAACTTCAAAATGATCACCAGTGTTAGGGGAGATTACACCATCTTAAATGATATATACTTGATTTATTCATTTGTTGACTTTGCAATTTGTATTTCTTATGAAACGGAGGAAAAAAATTGATAAGTGAAAAAGAAAAAACATGTAATGAAAAATATAAAAGCTTTCAAAAATATTTTACTTGTACTTATATTTACTTGGACTAAATATGAAATAAAAGTTTTAAGTACCTGAAGAGGAGTTTTTGATTTTCTTAATTGCTTGTCCGTGCTGATTTTGATTTTTCGATTGTTTGTAAAGTAAAAATTTCTTCTAATTACATAAAGTTCATGGGGTGACTATTTATAGAGTGGAAGAGCATCTGCTTTTCATTGCAATTAAAATTATACCATATTTATTTCCCATCTATACGCAGAAATCTTTTATTCTTTCTATTTTTTTTTATTTCTCACTCGGCTTTTAATAGTCCTATCATGATTTTTTTATATTCAAAACTCAAACTAGAGATCTTTGGTGAAGAGTGGAGCTGCCTCATTACTGCACCACAATCCATATTGATTTTGATTCATATTGTAAATAGGATGTATTTCAAGTTTCTTTCCATATTAATTCAAACAAGAATTTAATTCATATTCCTAATAGGATATGTCCACTTTTCTTTCATATGAATTATATTTCAAATTCATGATAGTGTCGGTATATTATTCGATTTGATTCATGGAATTTGACATTTCTTATTTTTCATAGGATATTAGATGTTTTTATCGAGGTTTTACCTATCCGGATCCGCGTTGTAAGTTCTTTCCATATTAATTCAGGTAAGAATTTTATTCATATTTCTATTAGGTATGTTCATTTTTCTTCGATATTAATTACATTACAAGTTCATGATATTGTCAATATATTATCTATTTTGATTCATTGAATTTGATTTTTTTATATTTTTCATGTGATGTTTAGTGTTCTTATCGAGGCTTGATTATCTGAATTTACGTTATGAGATTTTTTCATATCTAAAAATCAAATTGAAATCTCTAGATAAGATAAGAATGAAAACGTATTTTCCATATACTACGATCCTTGTTGGTAAATATGGCATATTTATCTATCAGAATTACTCATTGTTATAAAAATATTAAAGACAAATCCAATAGAATAAAATTGTATAAGAGAGAATCAACAAAAAAATAGGAAATGAATAAATCTAATTTTGCCAAAACTTCTAAGGTAACTTACCTTATTTGTCCAAATAATCTATAAGGTGACTTGCCTTGTTTTAAGACTATAAAACCTCTTTGCCTTGTTTTTGGAAGTTATTTGAGGATATTTCGGACAAAAATTACATAATTAGACGTACTTCACTATCATATATATTATTATTATCTATACTTTCAAAATATTACGTATATTACCATTAATTAAGAATTTCCTACCATATGCTGAGAAACATACACTTAACATACATGTATTTTTGCTACCATATACACAAAAATAAGAAGAGAAACGAGCGAGATGGCGAGGGAAGCAAGCGAGATTTTGTTTTGTATCCTTGGTACATGCGAATCACACGGTAGATATACACTATACACATGTATCTGGTGTGATTTGCATCCAGAAACATAGGAGAGTGGCGAACGAGATGTGAGAGAGGCGAGTGAGATGAAAGTAATATTTACTAAATGATATATTTTTTAAAATGTTATATTATATTTAAAAAGAATTACATATATTAAAGATTCAATTAATATAAAGAAGGGGACAATTTTATTATTTAGAATAAAAGAGCATATGATGTGGCTTTTTCACTTTTTATAGGGAATGAAGTTGTCTTGTTCCTCATGAGATTAGATTAGATTCATTTGTAGGTTAGGTTGTCAGATTTATTTGAATCTCCCCTCTGCACTTCGTCTTCTCTTTAAAGTAGTGAATCACTCATCTCTTTCTCCTTTTCTCTCTGATATTGTTTTGTCTTTTTGTTCTTCTCCTCAATCCTCATTTGCTTCAATGGTAATGAAGACAAGTGTGAGCAATAATGACGACGTAAAAGAAGTCCGTCTTATTTTTGATAAGCCAAGTAAGAATGCTAAACAATCAACTAATAGAGTTTTAAGTTGCTCTATAATACTTTTTTTGTTATTTTTATTTCAATATTAATAATATATAAAAATACTTAACAATATTTATAAAAATACATTGATCGTGTAATTTTATTATCCTTGATTAGTGGATACGAGTTAATCTCAAGTTTAAAACTCCTTAGCAATCCTTATACTAGTATTTCAAAGTATTTTTGTTTCCTATTTTTTTGGAGCGAGTCTTTCTAGTTTTTAACTTGAATATATTAAAGTCCCTTAAGTCTATTTTCCCATTAGTTAGCTCCATAGGGGAAAAACACGAAAGTGAGAAACTGCAATCACATTGAATAACTGATAGAGAGACATCAAATAACTCAAACACAAATATATTAAGACGAAATTCAACTTGTCTCAGAATACATAATACAAAACAACACACA